CCCGAATGACGACTGGAGCCTCGCAGGAGCTCGAACCACAGCGGGACTCGAACCAGACATGTGCGTAACGCGTTACTGTACTCATTTTCAACTCAAAAAAAAGGCAATTTTTCCGCATTGTTCATACGCGGCGCGAAGTAGTTCTTACGGGATTTGGCTGTTGAAGGAAAATGCGTTGATTCATGGCGTTTGGAACGTGTACGTTTTGATAAGACAAGATATATCTAGTCTAAAATTATCCTACACATATCTTAATTATCAACATAAAAGGGGAAATTGACAATGCTCCGCGAGAAGACGGACTTTTTTTACAACGGTTCTTGAGGTGAAAACGGGTATAGTAATGAGTAACTTCTACCTTGTTACTTTTAGGTAATGAGTAACATATTTAGTTACTTTCTTAGAAAAAAAGCGAGTAACGTATTTAGTTACTTTTATTGTAAGTAACGAGTAACGGTGTTTCGTTACTTTTGTGAAGTAATGTTTACAAGACCGTTTAAACAGCCTCGTTTTAATTCTAACGTGAGTATATATGCGTCTATACCGCGACAAAGGCAGATGCGCAACTCGAAAAACAACTACATGGTATGACAGTATAGCCACGTTTATCGCTGAACACGGCAGTCGAACTCTACAGCTGGGAATGCATCCTTCGCTCAGAGAACACAATAAGGTTCGTTGGTTGAACTTTCTAGAATCGTGTACAGACAGAATTTAAACCGGGAGGCTGCCAACACGAGAAGGCACAGAGCCGATTGTGAACGTCGAACTTTAGAAGCAGAGAGAAGAAAAGACAGAGGGGAATCCCAGGTTCATTAGCTGTTACCGAAGCACAACACTGACGCTCATTCGAGCGCGTCGGTAGAACGACTCTTCAGCATCGCCGGAGATGTATTCTCAATGACGCGGGGAAACTATAACTGATGAAAACTTTGAGCGAGCGACTGCAAGCGACTACTGAAAAGAAAACAATAATTCACAAAACAAAAGCAGTCGTGTATTTGGTTCTCAAAGTAGCGAGAAAAGTAACTCGCTACTTTGAAGGTAAAGTAATGCGTTGAGAATAGGTAACGAGTGACGTATTTAGTTACTTTTTGAGGCAGTAACGAATAACCGTATTTAGTTGCTTTTGTGGGGGGTAACGTGTACTTGTATGGCTCGAAGTTTGTATATACATTTGATACTATAGTATAGTATAACCTCAACGCATGTAACGCTCCCAGCGTGTCCCTCGTTTATGACGCTCGTCATGACTGCCATTCAGGACGATAATACGGAATGCAAGTTCGTCTGCTTCTTCTGCAGGGGTCATGGTGACGTCATTAGGCCGAGCTCTGGTCGGCTCTGATTGAAGGACAGTGGGGTAGACCCCAAGGCAGCTTGCTTCGATGTCTACCCACTATCCTTCGATCAGAGCCAATCACAGCTCGGCATTCTGACGTCACCATGACTCCCGCAAAGAGAAGCAGATGAACTTGCGCTCCGCATAAAAAACGACTCAAAACATATGCTGTGTTAAAACGGTGTGAGAATGCGCGTTTATGCACTCTTTCATGAGCGCAATCCGTGAGCAAGTGATGTGCAGCTTCTCAGGGACCCAGGGATCCTGGGTTCAATCCCCACCCCTGCCTGTTTCGATCCATGGATGAGCATTGTACCGACATGCGGTGGTGTATCACTACTGCGTGATGCACGTTAAAGACGCCCGGCTCGCGGCGCACTTGCTAAATTTCTTATCTTCAGCTGGGAGACAAGTCGCCCGTTGAGACAGACTAAGTTCTAGGCTATATAAGCATCCACACAACACAATTTTTTTGCAGCTTTTTAGGTTCACGGAATTTACTGAACTGCTGAGGCTCTTCAGTCAGTTAATTTTCTTGATAGCTGGACCTTCCTCACGTTTCCTTGCCCATACAGGGCGCTCGTAAAGTGTAAGCGGACTACCGCGGTTCATACCGCTCGTATTAATGTCTCTTCGTCCTCTGCAAGCGGAAGCTTTATGACTGAAGGCCCTCAAAATAGACTATAGTTGGGATTTATGCCAGTCACGCGTGACGTAATTATTTTAGTGCCTATATAAACAACGCTGCGCTTGACAACTATTTTCCATTCCCCCCATAGCTGAAAGTGTGGTGGGAGCTACGCGCTCGCCTGACCAATCAATCGCCTCCCTTTCACACCCTGGCACCGCTCTCGGCGCGTGGGTAAGGGCGGCAGCGTGATCACATGACGAAAAGCAGACGTCGAGGAAAGACGTCCAAAGGAGCGTGTGGCTTCAAGTGCACTGTCAGCTTAGGTTGATTGGAACGTAGCCGGTTATCGAAGGTGGAAAAAGGGTGATCAAACAGGTAACCGAGGTCATAATAGACCGTCTTCGGTCCCGTGCCACTCACTGCGCCGGACTGTTCAATCCAGGGGCGGATCCAAGGGGGGGGGGGGGGGGGGGGGCGACGGGCCCCCCCCCCCCCCTCCCCCTTCTCGGAGGGCAATTTGATACGGGTGGATCCCCCGGTGCCCAAGCAAGAATGGGAGAATAGTATATTTACAAATTCCCCACCCCCCCTCGCCCAAAAAGGAGTTCTGGATCCGCCCCTGGTCCGATCCGGCGCAGTGTGTGACTTTAACCGACGTGACTTTAACCGGACACACACTAAACGAGTGTCCACAATACCGCGCCATAATTGCGGCCTGACGTCACGCCTTTCACTGGCGGTGGGATGACCGAGTCTTTGGGGGAACAGGTTTCGGTCCGCACGATCGGCTACTACAACCGACGGCGTGAGCGAACGTCGTAGCGGACGTTTACGAACGCGCATGGCGCTCTGTCATCGACCCAAGCCGTTTTCTTTTCTTTTTTTTTTTTTTTTTTTTTTTTTTTGTTTTTTGCTATCGAGAGTTTTTGCATCGGGGCTCACGGCCTTCACTCGTGCCGTCTGGCCCGCGAGCGACGGCTATCATGAATCATGGAGAACACTACACACCGACGACCCCTCGCTGTGCTGGCCGCCTGGATCGCCCTAGCTGCTCCTGTTCCAACTGCGCGAAAGCGTGCTGTTCGAATGATCGACCCACTCGGGCCTTTTAGTCGACCGTGTCACGCGTGTTTCGAGAGCTCAGTCAACAACACGTCGAATTCCCTTTCTTCATCGCCTCTCTCTCTCTGTCAACATACAGGCCGTTTGGGAAAACACAAAACAGTCACGCAGCAGTCACGCTTGAAATTATTTAGCATTGAAAAAGCTAATCTTTTCAGGTCAGGAAAACACTTTCTTGCGCCATACATTTAGTTATACAATCGAGCATTGGCATTAGAAACATTATCTCCGTATGCCCGACAACTTTCTCGGCTGCATATGTCGCGCGTGCGCAAGACATATGCAGCCGACCAGCCGAAAGGCAGTCAACACTTTAATATGTAGAGATATATAGTTTATACATTGCCCGTCAACAACCAAGAAGTGGCCTGCACGACGGTACAACAGTTATTGTTGCCAAAGTAGTCAAAGAATACGTGTCTCACAAATCAACCGAGTGTATCAAATAGTCAACTAGACATGTCAATTTGTAAAAAAAAAAAAAAAAATTCATTTACGCAAAAATACTTCAGACGCCGGGAGTCCTCACGACTAAAATAGGTGCGCCGACTTTACGCAACAAACAAAACAAATTCATTAGACTTTTTTGCTTTCCACGTGGGGACCATCATGAGCGGTACAGAGTAACTGTGATATATAGAACTGTGTTAAGATGGGCCCTTGGATTTGCTCTACCCACTGATGTTGCCTCCTATAGGGAAGGCATCATCGCTATTTTAGTGCAACCCTGTCATTGGACATTTGGAACAAAAATCTGCATAAAAAGTGTGCGGATTGCAGGCTTTCCCGGACGGGACTCGGAGCACACTCGAGCACAACTTGGCGTAAAATTGTAATGTCACGTGCAAGCCTCGTGTCATAAAGAGACATGAAAAGTACAAAGTTCTGCCACGTCAGTTATAACTATAAAGGTATTTGACAAAATGCAATGCGTCTCACATATTTGTTTGCTATCGTAATAAAAATGCCAGCCTGTTTATTATTATTGTTATTACAATAATAATAATAATAGTAATAATAATAATAATAATGCCAACGGTTCCGGATGAGTGTACTTTTACCACCTTTGCGGAATAAAAGAAATATATGGAGGAGCGTCAAAAATCGAGTGAAAGAGAGAGGGGGTGAAAGAGAAGGGAAAGAGAGAACGTGGGCTGCGCGTCAGAAAAAGTTTTGTTCAAAGCAAAGGAACTCGGCGGCGCAAGTGCGCATTAGGCAGGGTGCGGACAGAGCGGCCGTCCGAGGTCACCAAGGAGCGAAATGCGTCGGGATAAGTTTGAGCGCGACGCCTGGTATTGATACATTTTCTTACAAAGAGAAGGTGCGGAGGATCTATCAAAGAAAGGCCTCGCTGCCTTCTCGGTGAAGTTGAGCAACTACGCCTTTATCGCCAACAACGTTCGCTCGTTGCGAGGGCAGGAGCCCGAGCCGCCGCGCATTCCCCAGCATTCTCGCGCGTGCTTCGCCTCGCATTTCACAGATGGCGCCACCGTGAAAAAAAAACCTCCAAGCCCACGGTCTCTTCAGCGCGCGGTAGAAAAAGTCGACGTCCGACGAATTTTGCTCGCACCGTAAATTACGAGTAGGATATACGTGAGTCTGTGTAGTCTCACTCGAAGTTTCCAGTTTGCCTCGTTGTGTTTTATTGAGCGAATAATCAATTTTCCCTCTTGACGAGCGACGGTGTGTACGCGATGAAACTTTTTGTAAAGAAATTCGGCGGTATAGAACTCTTCAAACTCTAAAAATTTGCCCCTAAAGCAATCTATATTGATAAAAATTAAAATCTGTAACTACTTTAACGCGCTTGCAACGAAGAATTCGCCGAAGAAATTCTAATAAAACTCGGAGAAGAAAGATTTGTAGTTTCCATTTAGTGTAACAGATGTCACTACGTGCATCGTCAACTTCGAGGAGGTTGATGGGATTGCATGGCTGTCGTCCGCCATGATGCTCTTTGAAAAATTTCCTCTATACCTTCGAGTAAAGCGCTTAATATGCTTTCTTCATGGAGGTGAGATACCCAGCTTCACCATGGACTAAATTTAGAAACTCTACTCTTTCTAATTGAGCCATAAAAACCCGTTTATACGGGTTTTTTGGACTGCTTTCGGCCTTGCAACCGTGTGGCCTCGTGGTTCTCGTACGAGGACTAAGAACCACTCGCAAGGATGAGCAAGCTATCGTTCCGCGCCCGGGCGCTGGACGCCTCCAAGCCAATGCCCATCTATCGGTCCGAGGAAATACCAGATCTTCCGGATTTTGCTGCGATCAACCGAGCTGTTCCTCAAATGCCCACGGGAATGGAAAAAGAAGAAGAATGTGTGAGTATATTTCACAAAGAATCCATTCTCCAACCTGATTGGTCGTTGCGATGCAATGGCGGGTGGTTAAATCGCACTCCGTGTTTTGCTGCGCACGTTTCGCGATATTTCGCTGTCACAAAGTGTTAAAGCGCTCTTTAAAGCTCCGATCGCGGTGTGGTGAAGTTATTTGGGATCGTTTGCCGCGCTTTGTGTTTACAAACAGACGTCGATTCGCGCTAGTGACGCATTCTTGCTCCGTATGCATCTGTTTACCATGCTTGTTCGAGTAGCGTCTGAGCTGCTAAAAACACCGCTTTTATGTGATCCTCGGTGCTGAAAGACGTAATTTAATGCGCCCTTATTTGTTGTGTGATTGGGTTATTTCTTATGTTTATTTGCGTGTGTTAGATCCGTTTGTCTCTCTTTGAAGTACCGAGCGTAAAGGCCTGTTTTGACAGACATGTGCGAGTTAGAGGAACGATTGGCTTGAAAATTTCTCGTTTACATCCTGTTTATGAAATAAGCATTCAATTACATTGTTGTTGTGTAGAAATAGTCGAACTGCAGAAATAATTGCGTGAATGTGAGATGTGATGTGTTGTTACATTTGAGATGGATCACTAGTAAATTGTTTGGACGTAACATTCCTTACCAATTCTATTCTGGATTTAATGGAAGGTTTAGAGGATTCGTTAGGGTGCTCATATTTCTACTTTAAATGGTAGACAAACTTAATATTTTCCAAATTTCGCATTTACTTGGGCATTTTTGGAGGTTACGGTACTGGAACATTGTGTGATTCTGTGCTGGTTGAACCCAGATGGAAACGTGCTGTTTTTAAAGTGGCCACAGTATTTATGCACACCTACTACATTGTAATGTTTATTTTAGTTACTTTTGCCTAAGCTTATTTTATTGTCCTGTTTACGCTAGTATAGTTGCATTTTATGTCATTTGCTTGCTGTGAGTGTACTGCCTTGTGTGTGTGTTATCATGTGTGTGTCTCCTGTGCACGTGTGGTTTTATGACGACACCATCTCTTTTTCACTTCAGTTGTTTTGGCTAAAATCCCGCGTACAGTAGCAGTACATTCAGAGGAGCAGTCAGGATTCAGAGAGGGAACTTCAACCTTTTCATCACCAATATATGACATGGTGGCCAGTGTGGAAATTCTTATGGATTTTATGAGCTCATAACTCAGTATATTTGCTGTCCAGGTGCAAGTCCGAATTTAGCAATTAATGCAGGTTTTTGGTTAAGTAATTTTGATAACTGGCCAGGCAACTGCTCCTGGTATACATTCAATTTCTCCTTATCCGAATTCTGGCTAGGTTGTTGCCCTGCGTTTTGCTTCTACCATATGTATTTCCCCGAATGAAATCACAGCTTTGTGCTTTGGCACTGTTTCAACAGAAATTTCTTTTTTATGTTTGGGCACATTCAATGTGATTGCCCCTCACAGGTTAGCCACTTCAGTGTTAGGACCAGTCTGGAAATGGGTCCCAAACCGAAAAAGATGATGGTGGAATGGACGCAGGGTTTTTGTTTTTAGAATGGAGAGAGAGAGAGAGAGAGAGAATAAACTTTATTAAGGAATCCAACGGCTACGGGGGTGTCCCTGCTTAGGCGGCGGCCAGGAGCCCTTGGGCCCTGGCGGTGTCTTCCGCTTGCTGGACGACCCAGAGTTAGTCATCTGGGTCTGCGCTGAGCAGCACGGTCTCCCACTGCTCCGAAGTAGTTATTCTGTGACCTTTAAGGTTCGCCTGTGGGCAAGCCTATAAAATGTGTGGTAGGTCTGCCCTTTGATTTCATTCCCTACACATGTTTGCATACTGACCCGGGTAGTAATGACTGTAAGCCACCGGGTTTGGGTAGGTCTTAGTTTGTAGGAGATGCCAGGTCACCGCTCGCTTCTTATTGAGTGCGGGGGATGCCATATTCTACCCAATCTGTAATGGCCAGCAATTTCCTGATATTTAACAATGCGGTCCGCTCTCGACCCTAGCAACGGCGGCTTCATAGCTCGACATGTAAGTCCTCGAGCTGTAGTGTGAGCCGCCTCGTTGCCGGGGAGAGAGGGGTGTGCGGGTGCCCAGATGAGTTGGACTGCCCGCTGATCGCGATGGTTAGCCAGGATCCTTTGTGCCTTCGGTGATATGAACCCCCTTGCAAAATTTAGAATTGCAGCTTTCAAGTTGCTAACTACATATTTGCAATTTGTAGATGCTATCGCTAGTGCGATAGCCGACTCCTCACCGACTTTGGCATCACTAACACAGAGTGCCGCATGTTCGAGTGTCACTGTCTGCGTCTACCGCTACTATAGACGCACCGCGGTGAGCTGCATATTTGGCTGCGTCGACGTAGACCACTTTCAGAAAGTCCTGAAATCTCTTTTCTATAGCCTTAGCGCATTTACTGCTCATCATTCTTTATGATAATTGGGATGCATGTTTCTCGGCAGTGGATTTACTTTTACGTGTCTTCGAATATCGTGCGGGATGTTCACCTTTGTGCCGTATTGGGATTCATATTTGATATCTAGCTTTCTGATTATGTGTCTGCCCGTTACTCTGTGTTAGTCGTTCGTATTGTACTATTGTGTGGGCCTCTATGAGTTCACCTAGTGTATTATATACACTAGGGGCTAATAACTTGTCATTAGCCGTTCTGATGGAGAAGGCGTGCCTGTTTATACAGTCTTCTGATAATTCCATCTATTTTCTCTCGCTCCGAGACTTGGGTGCAGAGATACAGGGCCACATACACGATGCGATTAATTACGAAAGCTTGAACCAGGCGGATCAGGTTGGCTTCTTTCATTCCGGATTGACGGTTTGCGATTCTCGAGATGAGGCGCATGGTTTGCTGGACGCTGTTCTTGAGTACCTTAATAGTTTCGCCGTTATTGCAATTTGTCTCCCTACTCCTTAGTGCTTTTGGGAAACATGGCTTATATGATCGTGGGTTGGCTTTGTCAGGTCGAGTGAATTGCGGAGCGCCAAACTACTCTCTGTTTCTCCAAGTTTAGTTGGAACGATTGATGGCGCTTTCAAAAGCCATGAAGTACTTGCAAGTATTTCTGAGATCATACACAACTGAGTTTCCGTGCTTTGTCATTCGCGGAAAGCTAACAAGTATGAATTTTCTACCACGTTCGCCTGTAATGTTAGCATTTCACACGGCGGCAAGGGCAACATCAAGATGCACATCGCTTCACAAAAGCATCAGAACTATGTCTCTTGCCACAAAAGGGCAGGGCACCAACGGCAGTTCCCCCCAAAACAACTGCGAAGACAGTGTGATCCGCGCAGAGTACCTCTTCACAAGATTTCCTGTCAAACTAAAAAAAAAATTCCCCCCCTCGGCATGGCAGTCTCCTGAATTGTCATGTTTCTAGGTTGGCAGGTATGCCATTTTAAAAAATGCAAATGCCATACATTTGAATGTAGTTTCCTTGCATTGCAGCTTATGTTGTCTCAGTCAAATCAGTGGTGCAGGTGGGATTTGTATGTCTAGTCATACAGCACTTTCCCATTTTGCATTGTGGCACTGGCGAAGCAGCATACTGGCGATTCTACTTCTGCTAATGTTGCATATGTTAACTTGCTGAGATGCAATGATGTGGATGCCAAGTTAATGCTGCAAGCATTGTCTGACTATGCTGACTTCACACATAGTTTTTCATGTCCCTCAGTCAGGGTTTAGTCGACTAACCAGAGGACATTTTCAGTTATGCACTTCTTGCAACTGTGCATTCCAACCAATTTAATTGTTCTGTAGTGTGAATTGTTTTCTAGTGGCTTGTTCAGTGGCAAAATGGTCTTGTATTTTGTAGACACCTGCATACCTATAAGTTCACTGCGAATATCTGCAGTAAAAGGGGGGGCTCAGGTAGGCATAAAGCTCATTCTGTGGATGCTGGATCAAATGTGGATATGTGGGTGGGCTCCCGCAGCTGTGCAGAGCGGCAGGGCTATGAAACACTGGATATCTGTAAAATACAATTATGCTGTAGCAACATAGCCCCTTGTTTTGTTGGGCAGAAAATCTCGCTTTCCTGGGCAAATGGACCCTTTCCGAAAATGCTGCTGACAGCCCTGATACGCCTTGTTTGACTATGCCAGGAAGTACAACAGGCAATGCAGTTTGTAAAGTGCACCGCCGTGACTATGCTGGCTGTTGCCATAGCGAATGCAGATAACACTGCTGCCAATGGTCTCCTACCGAATAGGAGTCTGGCTGTTCTTAACAATCACTTACTAATAGACTAAATAACCGTCTCGAAGACAAGCGACAGTAAACAGTTGCATAGCTACAAATTTGTCACTGAAAGCTACCTCAAGCAATCACTGGTTGTGGTGCCAATTTGTTTCTTTGTGGGTGAATTCCCAATTTTGCGTTAGCGATTACTGTGAGTTACACACACTAAATTAACCGTTTTTGTAGCTTTTGTATCGTGTACCCACAGTCTCGTGCCTTTCTTAATGAAAGGCACAAAATTGCGTTCTGTTGAACTCAATGCGTTTTACGGCAGCGTTTCCTTGCACACAACCAGATCTGAAAGAATACCCTGCACCAGGGTTTACTAGAATTAAGGTCATGCTTAAATTTTTCTTATGTTAATGATGCTAGTCATGGGACTGGCAATATTGTTGTTGCAGCACAATATGGGTATTGTTATGGGTGTGTGTTTGCTTGCAGGTGCATTGGAAGGTTCTGTTGTGACAGTGGTGGCCAGCTACACTAAGCAGAACACATTTTCAGTCATGTACAACAGCAATAAATGTCCTACAAATATTTTCCCCTTCAAAGTAGCGCATTCTAGGTTCCCGTGGTGCATACTTGCGAGTTTAGTGCGCATTTCCTTGCCCCTCAAAGTGGTAGGATTTCACTGTTCAGACTGATTCGGGAAACATATTTTCTCACCTTGTCTTTGTTATTATTGTTCGCTCCAGTTTCTGTACAGAGTAACATGACACGCAGCAACAAAAAAGCATCTTCATAGTAGTGTCAGC